ATTTTGAATGACTGGTTTGAGCCAATAGCTTTCAAACTGTTACATAGTGCTGTCTAGGTTCAAAGCATAGCTTCTAACTTTAGGCACACGTATCCTGTATTTAAAACATGCAGGTTCAAATTGCAGAAGTCAGGAACCCCCAAAATGAGAAATGCAGTGTTAATGGCTACCAGTGAAAAAGGCAAGTATAAGTCATTTACCATTGCATTTCAAAAATATTCTATGACAAAGACATGAATAAATCATATTGCTCCAGGGAAAAAGTTAAGTGCTTTAAATCTCATTTCTCTTCCTTCAACTCCTACTTTCCAGTCGCTGAAACAAATGAGATGGGGTTCTTGGAAAACAGATCCTTTTAGTAAACAACTTGAATCCGTTCCCTTTATTGCATGGTCTTAATTCATCCCCAGATGATCATATTTTTTATTATTATTATAAGCACGTAGGAGCTCTACTTAGAGACAAAAATTTTACTGTGTCAGACACTAAGCAAAGAGAGAAAAAGATGATCCACATGACAGATGACTTACAATCTAAGCCTAAGACATGAAACAACTGGCTACAGTGCCAGGCAGTTTCAAGGAAACTGCACAGGTCAGCGAGATAAGCCCTAATCTCAGTTCACCAGCTGCTCAGCTGTTGTTAAATTTTTGGTGGGCACCATTGCAAAGAACATTTGAGAAAAGATTTGAAGGCAAAGTTATTCCAGTATTTGCATGTTTGTGTGAATTTCTTCATGGTGTGGAGTCAATGTGGAGGCAGGCATGGAATAATGAATTAACACCACAGGCTAGTACTGTGGCTGAAGAAAAGTTCATCCTCATAGCAGCATCAACAAGACCAGCTGACATGAATGTAATCTACTATTTGGATATATCTGCTCATTGACAACCATTCATTGGAGGTACAGTCTAGAAAAAAAATTAAGTATGTTTTTTATAACTTGGTGAAATAGAAGTCACATGTACTTCAGCACCCTTTAAGCAGTAAAGAAAAGAACACAAACAAGAAACTCAGCTCACCTTGGATTCCTACCACAATGCCACTGCTTAGCCTGGAGGATGAAAACCCTGACTTTACTCGCATATTATTTACATAACATTACATAACAAAAATGAGCTGGAGCAAGATTGTGACAGAATAAAAAAAAATACAATCTAGGCATTCAGCAGTCATGTATACATCACTACCTCGGATGTCCACTCATGGGGACAAACCGCCAGTCCTCCTTAGCTTGGTCAGTCTCAAAACACCTCTAGTTACTGAGGTGGATGATCCCAGTCAGCTGTAGGGCTCAGCAGCTGGCTTCCTTGACTATGGGAAATGTCAGGCAACCTTAATAATAGGTTTTGCCAACTGTGTCTTCTGTAATTACATTATTAATATTATAAGCATCATAAAGCGGAGGATGAAAGTGTCGACTAGGACTAGCATTTATCTAGGACTCCCATTAATCTGCATATACGTGAAATTTTCTTATCTGAAAGATGTCTGCCTTCATTAGGGCTGAAATGGGTAGCTATGTTTTTTCCCTGAAATGTATGCCAGTGAAAGGACTAGATTTTAGCTTTGTGGCAGAGTGATCACAGCAGCAGTTTGTGATGCCATTTTTTCACAAAAATATAGAAAGGGCCAGAACATGCCCTCCTACAATAACACCCATCTACAGAGACTAAGGAAAATGAAATCAGTGAGGAATTTCTCCCATATTACTTCTCCCACAGAATGTTGCCCTTACTGTTCCATGAGGAGAACGAGGTTGCCCCTCTGCAAGGAAGGTTTTGAGGAACTGTCCCAGACTTAGGCCCCAGGAATGCACGCAGAGCCCAAGCAACCACCATGCGTTGAGACCGGGCACATGGAGCCCATATGCTCCTGTCAGATCTGATGCTTGCTCGAGGCAGCTCTATCGGAGCCATACAATCAGGAACTCCCTGTGTTTGTGACGACCATATCTGATCCCTTCCTTCCTGGATATAAATAGTTTCATTCTGAAGAACAGCCAGCGAGATATTTATCATAATTTCATGTTGCTATTTTTAAAAAACAGATACACAGTTTTGTCATGCACAACTTCCAACAGGAAATATTTTCAGTTTGTGGCAACATAACTCTTACTGGCCAATACAGCATTCATACCCCATTTAGCATGTGTTTTGTGACAGTTATCCAATTTAATATGGACCATTTAAAAACAACAGTTTGATAATGATGAAGGACTAGAAACATTTTGATGATTTTCTTTCTCATTATTTCATTGATTATCAATAATTGACTAGTGAATTTAGAGAACGTTTCAACTGGTAACGCTACTTTTTAGTCTGTGGACAGATTTGTTTCTGTTAATATTTAGTATCTTTTATGAAGGAAGCATTCTATCAGAACAACTGAGCTTACCTTTTTGCTTTAGTTATATTGATGGTACATATTAGTTGATTCATGAACATTACACCTTCACAGAATCACAGAATCACTAGGTTGGAAAGGACCTTCAAGATCATCAAGTCCAACCATTAATCCAGCGCCACCATGTCCCCTAAATGTCAATTATTGACATTTCCTGAACATATAAATACAGAGTTACATTCTTCAGCACTGTAAATTTATTTTGTCCAACTTCCCAGAGAGAGTTAAAGGGTAAGAATCTTATCCTTCTGTGTGTATTTTCAATAGTTTTCATTATATTTTTTCCATAATCAGAAGCGTTGGTAGGTTGCATGGAATACACATCAAAATAGATGGAAGGAGTTCTAACCTCCCCATGGGGTGACAGAAGCTATTCACATATATCAAGAGGGGAACATCCTGTGTGGCAGCAGAGCTACCTGCAAAGCGCTATATGAGGTTTCACAGTACTGTTGAAAGACACAAGTGACAGCCCACTCAGCTACAGAAGTGCACTGGCTTTAGTCTCTCCCTCTCCTCTTAAGCATCCTTTCCCATTCACTTCCTAACTTCCCAATAATATACTAATATCCTTCTGGCAATGTTTAAAAATAGTCATTATTACTGGTGAATGATGAATGGTTCCAAGTGTGGCCTATTGCTTGCCCCAAATTTTGGGATAGGCCATCATCTGCTTTGCATTTCCATAAAGTTAGCACTGATGATAAATCACAGAATCACAAAATCATTAAGGTTGGAAAAAACCTTTAAGATGATCAAGTCCAACCATCAACCCAACACCACCATGACCACTAAACCATGTCCTGAAGTGCCACGTCTACAGGTTTATTGAACACCTCTAGTGATGGGGACTCCACCACCTCCCTGGGCAGCCTGTCCCAATGTTTAACCACTCTCTCCGTAAAGAAATTTTTCCTAATATCCAGTCTAAACCTCCCCTGGCGCAACTTGAGGCCATTTCCTCTCGTCCTATCACTGGTTACTTGGGAGAAGAGACCAACACCCTCATTGCCACAACCCCCTTTCAGGTAGTTGTAGAGAGCGATAAGGTCTCCTCTGAGCCTCCTCTTCTCCAGACTGAACACCCCCAGTTCCCTCAGCCGCTCCTCATAAGACTTGTGCTCCAGACCCCTCACCAGCTTCGTTGCCCTTCTCTGGACACACTCCAGCACCTCAATGTCCTTCTTGCAGTGAGGGGCCCAAAACTGAACACGGGATTCGAGGTGCGGCCTCACCAGTGCCAAGTACAGGGGCACAATCACTTCCCAAATGGAAGAACCAAATCCAGATCCTCAACCTAACTCAGCCAAGTGGTCTATCAGTAACTAAAAGCTGAGAGTGAGGCAGTGGGAGTACATGCTGCTTTGGAGTCAAGTCTAGTTTTTTATTTCAAGCCATAAGAAACAGCCATGTTTGATTATATTGCCATTCTTAAGAAAGGCATCTTGTACTTCACTAGGAATAATGTGACATGTTGTTAAGTGCTTGTAATTGGTGTGGTTTTGTTAAAATATACAGTGTAAGTCATTCTTTTGAGTAAACAGTAAATGAAATTCCTATTTTACAAAACCTCATCTTTCTTCCAGCTTAGAACTTTCAAAAATAAACATGATTGCTTAACAATAAGTTACAAAGAACAAAATACACATTCCTGATTCCTAGTGCGACAAGTTTAAGATGCACAAGAAATATAGCCTAGAATCACTGTGAACTCTTCAAAGCCATTTGCTGACAAATTTATGAAAGGAACTTCATGTACGTGAAAATTTGGCTTTTAATAGTTTATTTGAAATGCTTTATTTCATCCTCTGCTGCTGTCAGATACTATGATGTCACAACAGCTGCTGGTGGTAATGATTGATGCCATACAGAAAAAGCTGTGTTCTGAAGCAAAGGTTAAGCAGTAGGCAAGAAAAACAATTTTTCTTTTTATGCAGATAATTGCAGTATAATGTGCTGATATAATTTCCGCCTAGGCCTTGACTCACACGCTAGTGTATTGCTTTCATTCTAACATTACACACATAATAGCAATCAAAACACATTTTTCTACTTTAATTGTAGATTTACTATAGTATTACAGAATTATTTACACATAAACACACACAGCAAGCACATCTGGTATCTGTGTAGCATGAAGTCTATATTATTATGGGCTTTCACTATAAAAATCGGTTTTGGTAACAAAAAATGAGTACACAAAATGTTATGCGGAAGCCAAAGCCAAGCTGTTTACAAATACAATAGCTCAGGCTTCTAAGTAAAGCGCAACAGCTCTTTAATAACTAGTCCAGAAGCCATCCCACCCTGAAGTTACATTTACCAAGCTGTCTTCAGCTGCCAATTATTTAACTTTGTTTTGGCTATGCAAGGAAAGAAGTACTCTAAACATATGAAACAGTATTTTTTATGCTTTTGTATGACATTTACGGAAATCTTAGTAGTTAATCAAAAATACAAAGAACAAAAGATCAAGTTCATGCTTTTATACTCAAAGTTTAATTAAGAATTTTATTTCAAAAAGTTGAAAGTATACAGATGAAATTCAAAAAGTGTGAATTATACAGATGAGAGCTATATATAACAACTTTTCTAAGAAGCTACATACTTGTATTAGTTGAATATTTCCTTCTGAATAGTTGGCGGTGTCAATTTCTTCTGAGAATTTAGGGGGTTGCTTCTTGGAGATGTAGGGATAGAGAAAAAGAAAAGGAGGAAAGAGGCAATATCTGAAAAACAGTCCTTACTCATTTGCAATGTAGATAACTTTGTGCTTCTCAATTACTTCTATGTCATGTTCCAGTTGTTTCATCTGTGATTCCAGCTTTTCTTTATGTAACTTCTTGGGTATGGTGTCTATTTCTACCGAAAGACCCTGAAATTCACGATACACTTCCTCCCAGTTCTTTTTCAGCCCCTAGTGCCATTACATGAAAAGGACATATATAAAAGAAAGTACTTCATTAACAATAATATGCACATCAACTACTTGGGATTTTTAGAATCACAGAATCATTAAGGTTGGAAAAGATCTCTAAGATCATCAAGTCCAACCATCAACCCAACACCACCATGCCCACTGAACCACGTCCTGAAGTGCCACATCCACATGTTTTTTGAACACGTCTGGTGATGGTGAACTCCACCACCTCCCTGGGCAGCCTGTTCCAATGCTTGACCACCTTCTCAGTAAAGAAATTCTTCCTAATATCCAGTCTAAACCTCCCCTGGTGCAACTTGAGGCCATTTCCTCTTGTCCTATCACTAGTTACTTGGGAGAAGAGACCAACACCCACCTGACCACAACCCCCTTTCAGTTAACCACTCTATCAGAGAGTCCTAACCCCCTACCAGAGAGTGATAAGGTCTCCCCTCATCCTCCTCTTCTCCAGACTGAACAACCCCAGTTCCCTCAGCCGCTCCTCATAAGACTTGTTCTCCAGACCCCTCACCAGCTTCGTTGCCCTTCTCTGGTCACGCTCAAGCAACTCAACATCCTTCTTGTAGTGAGGGGCCCAAAACTGAACACAGGATTTGAGGTGCGGCCTCACCAGTGCCGAGGGGCACAATCACTTCCCTGCTCCTGCTGGCCACACTATTTCTGATACAGGCCAGGATGCTGGTGGCCTTCTTGGCCACCTGGGCACACTGCTCATGTTCTGCCGGCAAATTAATTGTTGCTATTGCATTTGATAAGTGTCACTGCAATGTTAAAATAATAGATAAGTATATGGATAATGTTTAATCATCTTAATTGGACCAAATTAATTAAATGCTTAAAAATCAAAGTAGTTGCAACAGAATTAATTTTGACTCATTCTGATGCAACATAAGGAATGGTCTTTAAACAACTCTGTGCCTTGGAGAGAAAAAATTACAGTCTTTAAGAGGCAAGAAAACAATAATTAAACTAGCCAATAAAGGACAAGTTACAAAAATGCTAAACTGAAAAAAGGTATTTCAATGTGACTAACAGTCAACTCTGTAGCCTACCAGGAACTGAAGGAAGCCTGTACGCTTCATTTTGAGTCCTCAGTATCATCAAGAAAAACTGCACAAGGTAAATGAAGAGTGACTCTTCCATATTCTACAAAAGAGACTTTCTATGCTTTCAGTGATCTAGAGGTAGGCAACTTCAACTCCTCCATTGTATGTAATGCTAATATGCTCGCTGAGGAACTACTAGGATTCATAAAAGCTGCCACAAAACTCGTATCACTCAAATGCCTTCTTTTCTCCAAAATGCAACAGGAATTATCTTACAATCTGCACTACAGAAACCGCTTCCCCATAAACAGCAACCTGCCTACCACAGATATCACTATGTCACACACAGTGGTGCTACCTATCTTAACTAATTGCAAGAGTACCAATACTTGTACTCCAGGCAAAATTCAGCAGCAGTTTCAATTAATCTTGCCACTGCCTTCATTTTCCATAATTGAGACTTTGCTCAGACCATGGACACCAAACTGATTCCACAGTATTTTAACTTCTATGAACTACTTTGAAAAAATTCCAAATAATTGCATTCCTTTCATAATCTACATTTACAATAACATCTATAGGCAACATATATCATTTGGACTAAAAAAACCTAGCTGTCACAGAACCTATCAACAATAATTTCAATACCTGCTACCTCTCTTGAATGCTGCTGTGCAAAGTATTACCTTACTAGATAATGTGAACTGTATCTTCCATACATAAAAGCCCAAGACTAAAACCCTGCCTAAAAAAACCCATGCAATCATCTGAAATGTATTCATAAACCTGTTAATTCAACATCAGAGACACTTTTATCCACCAATATATGCTGAATGGAACCAGACTGTGGTAGAAAAATGAAATATAAAACTCGTCTATACAATCTCACAATTACTGCAACAATTGTTCTTACTTTCTCTCCTCAAGAGGATAATCAAATTCTACACATCCTATACATGCATGTATGAGGGTTTAGTAGAGTTTATTCAGTGCATCAAATGTCCTCATGAAGACTGTATGGGTGAACTTAATAACCACACCTACTACAAGGAACTCATACCGCAATCAGTAAATAATACAATATGGCTATCAGTGAGAAAATACTTTTCCAAATGTTTTTGGCTCTCGGTTCTGTTTCCTTAAAGATCACAAAGTATCTTTGAAAATGAAGAACTGAAGTTACTCTCTCGGAAACTAAAGTTTTCAGCTCTCCTACATGACTAAAACTGGATTCAACTGACACACTGATTTTATGGCACATTGTGATTTACAACCTCAGTCTTTCTTCTCCACTATTATTAAGCACCTTTTCTCCCAGATTGGCTAATTGATTAATATACTGAAGTTAAATTTAGAGGAATTATTCTTAATACATGTTTAGCTTTGAAGATTGTTGCTTCTATTTCAGAACTCAAGGACTCTTGTGCTTAAAAACTTGTCTGATTTTGTCCACTGTATGAATTGAGTTAACAGAAAAAAAAAAAAAGACCTCTCCCTGCCATTTTTGACTAGGAAAAACATACTTTTTCATATGAACTAATATTTTACTGATTCAAAGCAGTGTATTTATTGCACAGTAATTCATGCTTTTTGCACATTTGTATTAAGCATCTAAGTGTTGTCCATAAAGATTATTCTAACAATCTTCATATACAAGTATCTACATAAATTTAAAAACTATACCTCAACATGTGAAACAGAGCAACAAGGCTATTTATTTACTGTCTCGTAATGGTACTTGTCTTCGCAACCCAAGACTGTAAAGTACTTAAATAAAGCTCCCAGTCTACCAGGCATTAGGTATAGTTTACAAATATACAGTCATGAAAATAAATACTGTATTTCCAAAACTTTAATCGAAGAGTCATTCATATTCTTTTAAATAATTCTTCTTTGTGTACATTAGTAAAAAACTAGTTTGGAAATCACTGAAAACAGTGAATTCTAAAACACATTAGAGCATGCATTCATGCCAATTTACTCTATCCCTACCGAGTGGAGAGATCAAAAGCGTATCATGACTCCCTCCATAAAAATCTCCTTCACAGCTCCTCCAACAGCAATGTAATATGCTGACCACTATTGCTATGGCTAGATCACAAACTGAATGTCTAACTCTATATAAGGAGTTCCAATACATGCTGGAGTGAGAAATATGTACTGCGTCTATCAACATTCTCTTTTATTCTTATAAAATCCCAAGCAAAGTAAGCATAACAGAGAGTTCAAAATGTTAGCACAAATTTTTTCCCTTTATTTTTTTAAGTTTATGAGGCTTGATTTTGTTCTCAGACATCTATTGCCACGTATTCTTTCAAATCAGATAGTGCACATGTGTTCACTAGCAATGTCAATTATTTTAAAAGACAGGAATTCCCATATGTCTACAGCTGAGCACTGGGTAGAAGCCATATACCCTGGGGACACTAATTCCTCCTGACAATATAACTGTGTAAGTAATATGGCCCATGAAAGAGCAAACTTTTTTGAAAAGTTTCAAAGAAAATACTGAGTTAATAAAAATAATCTCAAAACTTCTTAATTAAAAAATATTTCAGTGCACTCTTGGATTTTAAAAATATAGAATATAACTTAAATCAAATCAACTGTGAGCAGCCTTTTTGCACATGTATTTTTGCTGCACAGTTAACTTGTTTGACGGTCAGCTTGTCCCATGCCTTTCTTACCACAAAAACATATTAATCTTCACCCTTTTTGTTATGTTCTTTGTATTACTGTCAATGCAATACCCTTAACTCTCTCCCATACTCCTTTCTCGCTTCTGCTGCTTGCTGTATAAGCAAGAGACACTATCGTGCTAGCTATTTTGGATCTTGATGATTAACCAGTTAATCTTTGCAACTGAGTTAGACACTGTGTTTTCTCTCTAGATATTCTACTAGCTTTTTTGTGGGAATTCAGCATCTTGGAGATGTCCATCCATCTGCTAACTTTTTTCAGGTGGCTGCTAAAATCAAGTTATTAAGGGACAGACTGATAAGCAAATATCACAGTAATGTAAGCCTCATTTTCATAGGAAAATTGGCTAAAATGTGGTCATGAGAAATTCCAATTCAAGGATGGGATATACTTTTAAAATGTCTCTTTTCTGCTCTACTTCTTGTATGGTATTATTTCTCTTCAGAAAATCTTATGCAATAAAAACTGTATGAAAGACAGTATCCAAAACAGCTTGACAAAATATGACTTTTCCAGTCATAGTTCTATGAATATATTGCAATTTAATTCTGTTTTCTGTTTTTGCCACATTTAAAGCATGACCTTTTGCTTTAGTCAGTGAGGCCACAAAGTGAAGATAGAAACTGCCAATAAAAGAGGCAATATTATGCCTCAGGATAAAAAAAAAAGCAATCTGTGTTTTTCCTTCTCTCACAAGTAAAGAGTCAGAACTGTAAATCCATATAGGTGCTTTTTTGCATTCCTTTGAAATTTCACTGAAATCCCAAGTCATTAAGGGGGACAGGAATCTAACAGAATTGAAGTACCTGTAAAACTGGACTAAAACTGTAGCTAGAGCAGCTCCCTTCAGTTTACAACTGTTGTACAGCTCCATCTAGTGAAAAAGTAGCTAACTCATTTGCCTCACATAAAAATCTAGTATACTTTTATTATTTATATGGACTTACATTACCTTATTTAATCTTTTGTACATATTACTAATGACATGAAATCAAAATACGCACCTGCAGAAGACTTCTCCTTTCTTCATCAGATACCTGTTTCATGGCTCTTTTCTTGAGATGCTCCAAGATACCGGCCTCATATTCTTTCTGAGCTCTCTTTATTTCTTCGTTTCTCTGTGCTACATATTTTGGTGTAACACCATAATCCTATAAAAGTAAATGGAAGAAGTTTCTCATATGTGCTTTTAAGAAGGAAACAAAAACATACCTGTCAACCATAGTATATTACATTTGCAAAGACAGCTTGACATGGAATTTTGTGCCACCGAGCAATAAAATCTTAAATCACTGTGTCCTTAGAAGTATCAAATGTGATTGCCTTTGTAGCCTGAGCAAAATGTGTAAACAATTCCTTTCAATTTCTTTTTGCAACCTTGGAAGACAACAGAATCCAGAAACCAAAACATCTATTTATAAGAACTGATGGTTGAGTGAGCAGTTTGAAACCTGTTAATGACAGCAAGCTAATTTACTTTTTATATGGTGTCAAATTCTACATTCTGAAACACATTCCTTAGATACTTTCTTTGAAATGTCTTCCTGTATCCTGATTTTTGCTGAACATTGCATGCCACAGAAGAGAGTGAACAGTGTTAAGACATACATGAAAACTAGACTAGTTAGGAATCATAAACTATCCCACACAGAATGTGGCAGAATTGTGTTCCTGAGAGGAAAAATAAGTTCTGAATATCAGACGTACTTGGGAGAACACATCTATTTTGCCTTATCCTTTGTAAAATGAAGCCTATCTAGCTCTGCCAGAAAGTACCAGAGTCTACTTTCTTTCTACCAAACACTAAGTGATTCACAAATCTTCTAGTGTTGGGTAGCACTATGACCAGCATTGTTTATATACATATGTTTAGCCATGCAAAGGTACTGCAAGAGCTGCAGGTTCACTTTTTTGCATGTTCTCTGTCATGAGTTATGTCATATGTCATGTCTCGTTTTGCATAATGGTCTGTCATGAGTTACCTGTTTAGATAAGCCAGACTCCTGATACATCTTGTTTTCCTGAGTAGTGGAATGGACTGTTCTTGTGTGAGGAGGTTGTCCCTAAAGGCATGCCAGCTCTCTCAAGCTCTTTTGCTTTTCAGAGCTGTCTCCCACAGGATCCTACCTACTAGTTCCTTGGATAGGCTGATGTTTGCTCTCCTGACGTACAGGGTCTGTACACTACCACCTGCCTCCTCGAGAGGAGGGGATCTTGAACTACTTCATGGCCTGTGCAACCAAGACTACTATTGATTATCACACCTCTGACCAGTTCTTTCTCATTTGTAAGTAGCAGAACGAGAAGAGCATGACCACTGGCTGGCTCATCCACCATCTGTGTTAAGAAGCTGTTGCTGACATGCTCCAGAAACCTTTCTGGATTGCTTTCATCCTACTGTGTTGTCCTTTCAGCAGATATCACGGAGGATGAAGTCTTCCAGAAGAAGGTGCACTGTGATCTGAAGATTTCCTCAAGTTGCTTAAAGAGATTTCATCCAGTTCCTCGCATAATTAAGTGGTCCATAATAAACACACTTTTGACACTTACTGGCCTTTCCTCTGATCCTGACCCACAAGCTCAACCAGCCTGTTGCCAATTGCATAGAAGACCTCCATGTATTTGAACAGCTCCTTCATCCAAAGGGCAACATCTCCTCTTCTTTCCTGCCTGTCTGTCCTAAAGAGCCAGCATTCATTCATCACAGAACTCCATTTGTCTCCCCATTAGATACTCCCTGGGTTCCCAATGCAACACATATGCTTTAGCAGCATCATTCTGCCAATTTTTTGCTGACAGCTTAAGCAAGTGAATACAGAGCAAAGGCAAGGCACAACTCTAGTGCCAGTGATTTTTCCTTGATGAATTTCAAAAGTCTACTACAAACATCAGTGCTATCTAAACAGCTCAAAAAGAATCATAAACATTTCATAGAAGAATGCAATAGAGAACCTAAAATAGGCATTGCTACTAGTATTTCCACTCTAATTTAATAAAACTTACCTTTTTTTTAATATATTTTGGAACAAGTCCTGAAGTTTCAAGCAGAAATTTATCTCCCTGTCTTCTATCAACATAAATAGGTTGAGGCTTTTTAGGCAATCCTGTGATAGCAGCCACTGCATTTGTATTTATAAAATTCTTTTTACTCTGAATTCCCATAACTGGGTGATCTGTCCTCCGTGGCACTGATAATGCGGGCAATTTCCTACTATCCTGTTCTTTTTTTCCTGTGAATTGAGCATGTAAACATTCTCAGCAATAACCATGAAGAGCTTTGCAATTTAATGTTATTACAATTTTCAAAAGGGAAAAATTATATATAAAATTACATGAAAATAGAAACCAACTGTATCTACAATGAAAGAATTCACTGGGGATGTACTATGATGAAAATGAGTATGCTTGCTTGGCATAACAGAAGTTTCTTAGGATATACTATGTTGGTTTAGATGGGTTTTCATGAAAATATGCCACTCATTTCCTCTTAACTGCAGTAGTATAGGACTTTTTTCAAATGTAATTAAAACTGCTTCTACTAGAGATGCTCCTTGTCAGGGCCCTTAGGCATTAACGGCCCTGCCCAGTCTCACCTGGGGCATCCACCCCACACTCTTGGGCTCAGGAACCCCATTTCAGTTCATCCCTGTGCTGTCAGTGCCTGCGTGTCCCTAGTCCTATTCCTGAAGAGTTATGTGGAATCAGTGGATGGACCTGACCCGTTACCCCATCTTGCCTGATGGTCACTAGGCCATTGATAGGACACATTTTCATCACCACCCCACTCTACTTGCCTGCCTCTGGTGTGGTGGGACTGCACGCTGTTGGTGAGGTCTTTGCCCAGCCTGCATTACAGTTGTCCTCAATTTCTGGCTCACCTCCCCTTAGAGGAAAGCCCTGCTCTTATTGGTCCCTAACACTCATAAACAACTTCAATCCTTCCTCCAGAGAATATTGTATTGGGTTTGCATGGCAAGGTTTTTGTTGCAGGAAAGCTGCAGGGGTGGCTTCTGTGAGAAGCTGCTAGAAGCCTCCCCTGTGTCCCGTAGAGCCAATGCCAGCTGGCTCCAAAGACAAACCCACCGCTGGCAAAGGCCAAACCAGTCAGCAACGGTGGTAGCACCTCTGGGATAACATATTAAGAAGGGGGAAAAAAACTGGCAACAGAAATTGCAGCCAGAGAGAGGAGTAAGAATATGTGAAAGAACTCTGCAGACCCCCAGGTCAGTGCAGAAGGAGGGGAGGGAGGTGCTCCAGGTGCTGCAGCAGAGATTCCCCTGCAGCCCCTGGTGAAGACCATGGTGAGGCAGGCTGTCCCCTTGCAGTCCATGGAGCTCCACAGTGGAGCAGATCTCCACCTGCAGCCCATGGAGGAACCTACACCAGAGTAGGTTGATGCCTGAAGGAGAATGTGACCCTGTGGGAAGCCCGTGCTGGAGCAAGCTCCTGGCAGGACCTGTGGACCCATAGAGAGAGGGGCCCAGGCTGGAGCAGGTTTGCTGGCAGGACTTGTGACCCCATGGGGAACCCATGCTGGAGCAATCTGTCCCTGAAGGACAGCACCCCATGGAAGGGACCCAGGCTGGAGCAGTTTGTGAAGAACTGCAGCCCATGGAAAGGACCCACATTGGAGAAGTTTGTGGAGGACTGTTTCCCATGGGATGGACCTCACACTGGATCGGGTGAAGCGTTGGATCCCCCTGAGGAGGAGGGAGTGGCTCAGACAAGTATGATGAACTGACCACAACCTCATTCCCTGTCCCCTTGTGCCACTTGGGGGGAAGAGGTAGAGAAAATCAGGAGTGAAGTTGAGCCCAGGAAGAAGTGAGGGGTGGGGGGAAGGTATTTTAAGATTTGGTTTAGTTCTTATTACCCTACTCTGATTTGACTGGCAATAAATTAAACAAATTTCCCCAAGTTGAGTCTGTTTTGCCCATGATGGTAATTGGTGAATGATCTCTCCCTGTCCTGATCTTGACCCAAGAGCTTTTCATTACATTTTCTCTTCCCTGTCCAGCTGAGAAGGGGAGTGAAAGAGAAGCTTTGGTGTGCACCTGGCATCCAGCTAGGCTCAACCCACCACCAATATAGAAACTCTTCCTTTTTAGGGTAACCTTTTCTCCAAGGCACCAACAGAAAGTCAGCAATCTCTTGAGTAGTCTCACTTCAGGTGACTGATGAAAAACAATTAATTTCCCACCATATTTCCCAATAGATATAACTTTAACTGACAGTCATTATCAGAGATAATGATTTGATTCATGTTGTCTGAGTTCATATTCTTCTTTGGCAGAAAATAAGTGTAATGTCACAAATGACAGAGCTCATTCCTACAACAGCTGGTTTCCTGATAATGACCACAGGAACCAGTGCTTGCCTGGGTTTTGTTTTTACAACCTGACAGCTTGCCAGAACTTAGTACTGTACGGCGCATAGACTTAAATTTCTATTTCTTTTAGGATGTCTTTTTGGAAACAAGATCTCTGAAGCTTCTCAGTGAGCACTGGCTCACCTTTATCTGCAGTACACTGGTCCACACTTGCTGTTTTGGGAGCCTCACTTCTTCTGGACTCAGGAACCAAGCTTGGTTAAAATGAATGCCAGAGTCCAATAATACAACAAGATTCAGACAAAGGTTAGGAAACACACCTTTTGTAAGGAAGTGGTGAGTAATCAGACTCTAAAAGAATTACACTATCCCAGGCTTTAGGGAAAAAACCCACAATCTTTCTGTTCTGCCCTTGCAATCTATTTTTAACTAGTTGGATCAAACACAGTTTGAAGACAGCACAGATACCACAAACACAATGCCATAATCCCATTTAGTCAACTGATAACTGTTTAAATTCCAAGCAATGAAAGTGCCATGCTTTATAAGAAGTGATTAAGCAGTGTAACTTCTCTGAGGTAGGTATGAAATTCCATCCAACAAAGGTACCAGAACTTTCTGAGTTAATGATACAGCTCCTTCTCAACATCTGTTAGGACCTAATCACAGCAATGAAATTACTAGTCTGGATTGAAGCTATGATGTGTCATAGTCATTTTGAGGCTCTGGTACATTGACTCCACATGCAAACACCAAAGCACATATTGCTATGATGAAACCCTGATTCAACAAGTTGAAATATTGTGAGTCACTCACCTGAGAAAAATGAGTCAGAGTGCTGCATCTCAATATATAGCAGATTTGAAGTAGGTAACACTAATTTTATAATACAAGTACTTAGAAGGGATCTTACGGATTGCTCCAAATTATTGGTAAATTAACCATCTTTCCTATGCTCACCTAAAACACTAATGTGGTAATTTAACAAGGTCTTAAGCTTGGAAGCATTCATGCTCAGATGTATTATTACATTCCAGTATACTGAATGCTGTTCAGATATCCTGGAAAAGTGAAGGCTTTATTCAGAAAGGACCCTGGATGCCTACAGAACCTCGGGCACCAAAGCTTTCTTTAAGGTTCTAATTATCCATATTGCCTGATGCATTAAGCCTCCAAAGCCTCCTGGGACAGCCTGCATTTTCAGTGCTAAAGCCATTTGTGTGTGCCATGCAAATTCAGGTGCTGTACTCCTACATTCTCTTAGACAGCTTTTTTTTTTTTTAATACTGTACGTTAAGCTCTTCTGTTTTCCAGGCTAAAAACAATTTCAAGCTGAAATTTTATAACTCAATTACAAATTCTGGCAGCAATGTACCTAGAACCACAGCAGCACTAAGAAGGTCACTCCACCCTTGCAGAACTGGCCAGAGTTCTGAGGCTGAACGTTAGAACTGTCAAATCCTTATACCCAGAATTATGGTTTGTGCCCAAAGATAGGATGCATTTTGCAAAAATATATTCCAATTTTCTTATTTTTGTGACGTGCAGCTCTCAGAAAAATTCTATGGTTTGTACACTGCCAGCCAATTTAATGCTATGGGATTAAGAGCCGACAATGAGTGCTGAAGAGTAAAAGCTGTATGTTGCTTATAACATCAAGAAAGGCATGCAAACTTTTCCCGTATCTCTTCAAGCATTAAAAATAATTAGTTCACTTTTAATACCCCCATTCATATTATTTAATATTAATGATCAATTGCAGAAGAGAATGATGTACAAATTTAAACTATATAATTACAAATTGAAATATCAGCAGGACAGAACATACCATCAACACATCTTCAACATCTGAATAGCTGCAGCCAAAAAGATATAATTTTTATTTATGTTTCAGCTGGTTTTGTACCACACGACAGTAAATATTTACTGTATTTTCTAATCACATGTACAATCTCCTTGTTGCTTATTTTGGTATTTTACACAATAAATAAGAAACATTCTTGTAAAACAGAGCAGTAATTTTAGTATCACAGATACTATAAAAGGAACAATGGAAACTGCCCCAGCATACAAAAATAATTTTTTTTTTTATTTGATTCCCCATAACTAACTGTTACTTTCAACATTAATATTATCAAAAAATACATTACATTTCATATATTTCATGTCTACACTTACCTGCTGGTAGCTTGGGTTCCTTTGAATGTTTCTGCAGAAAATTTTTTGGAGATGGCACCGCAACTTTTGCTGGTCCCATAGTTTTCCACTGAGCTTTATTTTTCTCTGCTTCACATTTCACAGATGGTCTAAAAGTGGATATATACCTTAGACATTTAAAAAAAAGCCATACAGAAGTTACAGGTTAGAAAATTATTAAAAATATTTCTTCAAAGAATATACATTTTTGCAGTAGTTCATGCCAAATGCCTAAGCTATTTTGTTTTGACCTCTCTCCCAAATAAAGGCCATCATTCATACAACCTCCATACTAAGGCTAAGCCCAGCACTGCACTGACAAGTGGTTTTTCTGATTCTGAAGCTAGCATGCTGCTTCTTTACTCTCTTGTGTCTCCAAGGTCAGTATTATCACACTTTGGGAAATGGTTCCTGTACACTGGTCATATAAATACTGAACATAAACATTTTGAAACTCAAGAAAACCTAAATTTTGGAAATAAACTGCTTTGAGTATTGCTTGCATGAATTCATTATTTTTATGAGGTTGTGCGTTACGTACTTTGGTCTTTACTTTTTAATTAATTCAATTTTGAAAAATTTTTTAATGTGGCTCTTTGTTCAAAAAAGTATCCAAAATATGCAGCTGCTGTGCTAGAAAAATAGTAATCATGAACCGACTTTGCCAGATTTTCTGTATTTGAAAGTTTGTAGTATGAGAAAGATGCAAATACCAATGTATATTGGCTATTTCAGAAGCTGCAGTTGCAGTACATTGTAAGGCCTTACACAGCAATCAAAGGTATCTAAGGAAAAGCTTGGCTGGCTTCAAAAAAGATGAGAACATTCACTGCTTCATTCTATGGGATGAAATATTTTGTAGAGGTATGTAAAACCTCATGCTTCAGAAAACATGTCAAACATAGTCGAGAGTTGGACAGAATGTCCTTGATCATCCGTTTATCTTATTACTGCCCACTGCATCATTGTCTCAATGTTCCTGTTGAACCATCTGTTACAGACTCTTATAAGAGATTAGATGAGATGGATGACTGCTCTGAAACAGCACAGCAAACCGTGTATTTCTTACATTAGACAGATCTGAACTATGACCCCGAACTATTGTAATAAGTGGTAGTTTTGGCACTAACTGAAACTGCTAATGTGAAAATCAGTAAGGGCTCAGGCATGAAAAGCTCTATGCACACACTGCTGTTTTGGCGTAATGTTGCATATGGCACCATAACTTCTGCTTTAATCAAAAGTATGCAAATATGTTCTCCAAAAGAAGCCAAATGCTGATCATTAGCTGATTATCAGCATCTTGCCTCTATCTGAAGGCTGAGCTGTCACAAATGTTTTCCTGAGGAAGCAGAACTTCCTGCTCCTGAAGCTAAGGCAACCTTATTGTACCTTTTAAAATCTGTACCTTTTGCAAACACGTCATATTAAGTTATGGTAGACAAAAGCTGATGAGCAGTTGCGCTCTTCTTTCACAGAAAAAATCCTAAGTATTTATAAAAAAAAAACTATACCATGTTTTCAGGTAAGGAAAAAACCCCAAAAACTATTTTAAGGAAATACTGAAATAGTATGAAAGAAACGATAAAATGCTGGGACAGTGAATGGGAATCATAGTAGCAACACTGATAGAAGCTTTTGTATGTGAGCTGCAAATATCCAATACATGTATTTGTACTTGATCATAACATTAGAACTGTAATGTAAGTGTAAGAGGACTTCATTAAAAATGTGCAGTTATTTTGTCTTTTGGAGAGCTGGTCTCCAAAATCAGAAAAAGGATTATGTTCATAAGATTATATATAATTCCAGAAATACCTCTAATTATAAGGAATGAGGATTTATTTATTTTTTCCTGTTAAATTCACGGCAAACAGCTATAGACATAGCCACAAACCCACCGCATTCATAAATAATTGCTTTCCTCACCATTTGCTAGGAGTGGCATTGTAGCCACACAGTAGGGA